CCCTCCTGGAGGGAAAGAGGCTAATAAGATTCACGAAATGAACAAAACTTAGGAAGCTCGGGGACTCACAAAACTTACAAGATTCAAAAAGCCCCCCAAAAGGTATATATGTAGCAACAACTACTAGAAAGAGGAGCTTCTTTTGCTGGCCCAGCTCCCTGCAAGTTGCAGAGGACGCTCCAGGGATGCAGCTTTGGTAAGAAGTCACCCATGCTGGGTGGACTGCTTTGTGATTCAGCTGCCCCTGAGTCACACATTCTTCAAATAACCACTCACCCACGTTCCTATGAGCAATCTCAATAAATTCATCAACTCACCAAGCTAGACTTGGGCAGTTTTTCTTTCATCTGTCGTTGGGTCCTATCTGGGGTGAACAGATACGTCTTCACATCTCCCAAGGAGAAGTCACGCAGCACTTAGCACCCTCATGGCTGCAAATGACAAGGTTTTCTTCTTTTCAAAGCTGACCAAATATATGCTGTGTGTAAACCACATTTTCTTTATCCATCCAGTGATGAACACCTTGACTAATTCTCTGCCTTGGCTACCTGCTGCAATAACCTGAAGTATAGCCATCCCTCATAAATACAGATTTCATATACCCAGTAGGGGGGCATATTAAGGTTCTGTTTCTGGGTTTTTGACAAATAACCAAAATGTTTTCCTTACTGGATTTACCAATTTACATTCCTACCAACAGTGTGTGGGAGCTCCCTAAACCTTTCCTTCTATAGCTTGGTGAGGTCTGAAGTAGGTGTTGTGAGTCCCAACAGCACCAAACGACCACAAGAAGGGTACCCACCAGGGTAGCATTACTGTTAGTCTCCTGCAGCAGCAGCTAGAACCCTAGCTGAGTTTTCCCACGGATTCACGTGCCACGGATTTTTACTTTGAGCTTTCCAACTTTACTTGCATAGTTTTTGCTGTTCTGATCCAGTATGCTAAAGTCCAGACTGAACTCAATGATCAAGTGCAGTGTTGCATTACTACTGTTTCTGTTGCTCTGACAAAATACCCAACAGAATCAACTTAAGGGAGGAAGGACTCATTTCAGCTCATGGTTACAGGAGATTTCTGTTCCTAATGGTTGGGAAGTTCTGACTATGTTTGGTCACATCACAGTGGCAGACAGGAAACAGAGACTAAGGTCAACAGTGTTGCTAGGCTCTAACTCCAAAAGGCCTGTCCCCATTGGCCCCACAGACAGGCCTCATGATCTCCCAACACAGCACTGCCAACTGGAGACCAGGTGATCAAACGCATCAGACTGTGGAAGACATTTCAGATCCAAACTATTACAAACACCTTTTCTAGTTAGATGATAGACAGACACATTTTGAAATAGGCTCC